GGGTAGATTTTTTTTTAGATTTTGCCACCGAAATGGCTAGTTTATTATGCACCCCATATCCATCCTGTGGACGGTAGCGCGAGAGCATATGGATACACAAAAGGCCTAGGAACTAGGCCCCAAAGGGTTAACAGGAATACATATGGATTTATATCTACATATCTATAGTTCACTTATCTGTTACAAGCAAATTTAGGAAATTTGCTTAGTATATCTGGTATCTTATTTTCATTAATAAGATATAACTTGTAATATAGGGTGAGAGGTGAGTAATACTTTATTTGTAAGAAGTCGTGTAGGTAGCCCTGGCTCTCCATCTCATACTTAATATACGATATTTAAAACAGCCCAGAGAGTTAAAATACATATAAAGTACACTCATTATTTACCTTAAAATATGTGTAGTCTTAATGTAGGAAGAGAGGTGAGTAGTATTTATTTGTAGGAAGTCAGTGTAGGTAGCCGGTAGGTGTAGCCAGCCTGGGCTACACCAGCGGGTTACCTACACTGTGGTCCAGAGCCATATTATTAGCATCGACATACCCTGTTCACTGAATTTAATCGTTTTTAACAACTACCTTTAGGTGCCATCATAAACGAAAGGAGAAGTAATGAATAATTCATGCCGAAAATTGTAAACAAAAGCGGAGTGGGGGAGTGGCTCTCCCAAACACAGATTCATACACGTTTTCTCTCGTGACTGAGGAGAGAAAACTAATGTTATCCCTCCGCTCGGCTACCACACTCCCAAGCATAGACGCCATCGTCAATGAGAGCCAACTAGTTAACGAAATAGTAAACGAGATACAGAGTTCAGACAATGTAAAAACACAAACTGAACAGGTAGTGGGCGATCACTTGGTCCGGCTAAATGCGTATTAATGTGTGTCTGCTTTTAGTTCATTCACGTACATTTGTAAGAGTTTGTAAAACTTTTACCTCACAATATTTTATTATAATAATAATTACCTCACAATACAAATACTCTTAACTTGTGTACAAGTTGTACAAGTTAGTACAGAATAAACAAACAGCAACACTCCCATTGTCATGCAACACACCATTTTTAGAGTGAATGATATTATTATTATTATTTTTATTATTATTATTATTATTATTATTTTCATAATAAAAAAGAAGATCTAAACCCACAAGGGTCGTGAATTTCTATATATAGAGTGAAGGCATACGAAAGGAATATTTTTCTACAGTTATCCTCCAGTATTAGACTATAGAAAACGTAATTCTTCCGACACTACCTACACAGCCGCTTTGTAAACAAATCTCATATTTACGTAAATTTTTATTTTGTGAGTGTATGTATCATGTTTATATGCTATGTAATGCGTTTGTTGTATAATTTTGAAGAAAATATCATAGATGGATTACTGAAAATGTCTATATTAATGTAAAATAACACATTTATTGTCCCCAAGAGTGATTGTTATGTAGTGTTACTGTGGCATCATGAGTAGAGAGATTCTTAACGATTTTAATGTGCACCTGCACACCAGCACAGTGTGTAAGTATATTTAGGTACAGGTACACAAGTATAATTACCAGAGTACATATAAAATACACAATAACTTTAAAACACTTGAAATTTTGGAAAGTTTCCAGACATAATAGATGTGGTCATGGAGAATGTAAACAAACCAGGTGGGGGCGCCGTATTTGAAAGACCGCTTGCCGTATAGTAAATTTTGGTCATAATTTGACATCGCCGTATTAGCGGAACACCATAAGGCTAAACGCCGTCAAGTGGGGCCCTACTGTACGTACTTCTGACAATTCCGAGAGGTGTCATCAGCCCCACCAGCCGAAGTGGACGTAATTATATGTAAACTTTGCCAGATGGACTATTGTTACACCTTGTCCCATTATGTGCTGGAATCCAATAAAGTTAGTAAATGCAAAGACAACTCATTCACAAATGTTCAAGAAATGTCAAGGTACATATTTTATCCACAGTAGCATATTACGAACCATTCTGGAAAAATATTGTAAATAATGCACGATACATGATTATATACACCTGGAAAATCCTAGAGGGACTAGTACTGAACTTGCACACGAAAATCACTCACTACGAAAGCAAAAGACTTGGCAGACGATGCACCATCCCCCCAATGAAAAGCAGGGGTGTCACTAGCACGTTAAGAGACCATACAATAAGTGTCAGGGGCCCGAGACTGTTCAACTGCCTCCCAGCACACATAAGGGGGATTACCAACAGACCCCTGGCAGTCTTCAAGCTGGCACTGGACAAGCACCTAAAGTCAGTTCCTGATCAGCCGGGCTGTGGCTCGTACGTTGATTTGCGTGCAGCCAGCAGCAACAGCCTGGTTGATCAGGCGCTGATCCACCAGGAGGCCTGGTCACAGACCGGGCCGCGGGGGCGTTGACCCCCGAAACTCTCTCCAGGTAAACTCCAGGTAAACTTGCTAAAATATAAATAATTCAAAACCACATTTAGGCTACACTGTAATAACTTTTGTGACCTAATTCATATCTTTTATTTATTTATTTATTTTTTATTTGGACATGATACATAGTTGTACAAAGAAATATAGTGATTGGGTGTACATGCCAAAAGCTCCATGTATGCAGAGCATTATGGGCAGGCTTAAAATTAACTTAAGATTAACTAAGCAATGATATATTCAGTGGTAAAAATTACAGTGAACAAATTACAACATGAAGTACAAATGAGTATTTCAAATAAGAAGCATTAAAGTTGTACAAATTTGTAGCATAACAATTGGCATAAATAACTGCAATAAATAACTCATTACGACTGTAACCAGATATAAACAGGTACATAGGTCATTACCACTTTAACTTGTTTAGCCATCAAAACTGTAGCCCAGTCCCTGGGCCCATTATCTGATGCTGAAATCTTTTGAGTATCTCCCACAGGATGGGTATGGAGTGCATAATAAAGATCTTAAACTAAAACTTATTAGTCCATTAATTAGAGGGTTCACTGTACTATAACTTCATGAGAAGTGACCGTGATTAACCAAAAATCATTGTGGCCTGAAATTTTAATTATTGTATTAAGACTGAATAGTTTTTTAAGTCTGGAATTGTAAACACTAAATTGAATTCCTTGACATAATGACAGGATTCTTTTGTTTCATCACATTAAAGAAAACACTAGTGATAGAAGGCAACACTCCAATAATGGACCTGGGCACCAGGCTCGTGTCATATTTGTAAGTGGTAAAAGTTATTATATTCATTGGGGAAGTGCTAAACCCATAGAGGTTATTCAGTGTCTAGAGTAATGGGAGGAAGTTAGCTTTGATTCTAGGAAAGGAAAAGGACCATATTCTTAATCCATGAGTCTTTCACCAGCATCAAGGAACCTCCCTTGGGAGAACAACATGTATATTGAAGTCCCTTAATTTAAATCTTGCCTGAAATGTTACACAAGCAAAAATCTTAAATTTGCTGCATACAATGAGTTTCTCAAATGTGATTGCAACATACAACCTACACAGTAACCTCATATAATGACTTTATAAACATAATAGTGTGACCTTTCATTTCTTCTTTCAACAAACCGGCTATATCCCACCGAAGCAGAGTGGCCCAAAAAGAAAAACAAGTTTCTCTTTTTAACTTTAGTAATGTATACAGGAGAAGGGGTTACTAGCCCCTTGCTCCCGACATTTTAGTCACCTCTTAAGACACACATTGCTTACAGAAGAAGAATTCTGCCCAACTTTCCCTGGAGATAAGAGAAAATAAACAAGAACTAGTAAGAAAATGGAAGAAAACCCAAATGGGTGTGTGTGTATCTTCTTCTTTCAACAAACTGGTCGTATCCCACCAAGGCAGGGTGGCCCAAAAAGAAAAACAAAAGTTTCTCTTTTTAAATTTAGTAATTTATACAGGAGAAAGGGGTACTAGCCCCTTGCTCCTGGCATTTTAGTTGCCTCTTAAAACACGCATAGCTTACAGAGGAAGAATTCTGTTCCACTTCCCCATGGAGATCAGAGGAAATAAACAAGAACAAGCACTAGTAAGAAAATAGAAGAAAACCCAGAGGGGTGTGTATATACATGTATATGCTTGCACACGTATGTGTAGTGTGACCTAAGTGTAAGTAGAAGTAGCAAGACGTACCTGAAATCTTGCATGTTTATGAGATGGAAAAAAAAAAACACCAGCAATACTACCATCATATAAAACAATTACAGGCTTCCATTTTACACTCATTTGGCAGGACAATAGTACTCCCTGGGCACTTGCTGACTGCCAACCTACTTCCTAGATCTTTCTTTTATAATACTGTACTTCTTTCTTTCATTCAACACACCGGCCGTATCCCACCGAGGCAGGGTGGCCCAAAAGGAAAAACGAAAGTTTCTCCTTTTACATTTAGTAATATATACAGGAGAAGAGGTTACTAGCCCCTTGCTCCCGGCATTTTAGTCGCCTCTTACAACACGCATGGCTTACGGAGGAAGAATTCTGTTCCACTTCCCCATGGAGATAAGAGGAAATAAACAAGAATAAGAACTAGAAAGAAAATAGAAGAAAACCCAGAGGGGTGTGTATATATGTGCTTGTACATGTATGTGTAGTGTGACCTAAGTGTAAGTAGAAGTAGCAAGACGTACCTGAAATCTTGCATGTTCATGAGACAGAAAAAAGGACACCAGCAATCCTACCATCATGTAAAACAATTACAGGCTTTCGTTTTACACTCACTTGGCAGGACGGTAGTACCTCCCTGGGCGGTTGCTGTCTACCAACCTACTACCTATAAATACTGTACTATATTTATTTAAATATACAGTACAGGACTCTTAACTAATACTTAGAAAATAATGGTGCCCCTTATTTATTGTGTACAGTACTGTAATAGGGATGAAGACTTGAGATGCTTTTGTCATTTGTTCTAATGTAATTGAACCATGCATATCTAGTTTAATAATGTTTTGGAATCATCACATAAGTTGGCTGAAGGAATCTTAACATTCTTCCAGTACAAGTGCTTTACAACAATACATAAACACTATAGTGTTGACGAGTGGAGGGAGTTTGGCGAGAACAATAAGGATGTGCTGGAATATGTAGCTGCATCCTCTGGCATCTCTAACGCTGATTGGGATCGTTTGCAGGAAATACTCGCCATATTTTCTGAGGTGAGAGAACAATAAAAATTTAGTTTTTCATTGTAATAATGAATGAGGATTTAATTGGTTGATTTACTTCTTTTGAACAACAAATAATAAATATATTAATTGTCTTAGTAAAAGCTTGGCTCATCTAGAGAGAAAAAAGGGTTAAAAGAATTAAGTTTTATTGTCACATTACAGCTGGTTGATGTAATGATAGTCTTAATTTGGAAGGGCAAGATAGGAACTCATGTGACTAAAGAACTGCATGCCACTTAACTTTTATGTATTAATATTGGTAGAATTACTGACAGTATATTTAGTAAAAGGACACAAATGCAACTAGTGTGACATTTTATTGTGGCAATGTTTCGCTCTCCAGGAGCTCCTGGAGAGCGAAACGTTGCTACAATAAAATGTCACATTAGTTGCATTTGTGTCCTTTACTTAACTTTTATGTACTCTATAGACCATAGAGACCATTGTATATAAGTGAAATGCTGGCGTGACATGAGCATGGAATATCAAGAGTTGGAATATCAGATTGAGATGAACATTGAGAAGTAAAGCTAGTGTTTGGATGATAGATATAAGGTTTGATAATATGGAAAGATGTGGAAAGCAACAGTAATGTAGCTCATGAGTGAGGGAAGAATTCTATGGTGGTATGATCAAGTAAAATGAATGTTTGTCAAGTGGTGAAGAAATAGCATGCATGTGAATTAGGGGTGTGCCAAAGTATAGATGAGTATCAGCCAGTTTTGGTTGTATTGGTATTGGTACCCAGTATCAATGGGTATTGGCTAATTTAAATGATATCAATATTAGCCTAAAACAGAGTATTGGTATTGTCAAATAATTTGATATCATCCCATCCCTAATTTGAATATAAGAGTATACAGTGTGAATAAGGTGGGTAGGTATGGTGAGTGTAAGGAATGTTCTTCGAGTATAAGTGTTTTAAGAAGTAGTGATGAACAAGGCTGTGAAAACTATTATGAGGAAGTGAATTACAGTATTTATATTTTCTGTTGAAGAAGGACTCTTATGCTATTGAAGAATGCGAAGATATATTGCTGTCCATGACTGGCTGGAGACTGTTAGTGCTAGTTTTTGAACATGATGCTGCAGAGTATGGAAAGTAATGCAAAGTATTGGTGTCACTTCAGATATCTTTAATGTCTCTTACCTTTTTTTCCTGTATTACTCTTGTATGTCTTCTCTAGCAAAGACCTGCACACCCATGGAAGTGTAGAATATAATATTATAATGATGATGATCATCATCATCATAGTGGAATACTGTTGGTAGCAAAAGTTGTATGCAATAAAATTTTGAGTGGTGATTTGGTTGCATTTGATGTAATAGGATGACGAGAAAAAGGAGACAACAGCAAGATAACTGCGTAATACGAAATTCTGATGGAAATTTGGAAGGGGAAGATAGGAAAAGCAATAAAATATTGAACCAGTTAAACAGTAGATATAAATGGGCCAGTAAAATACAGAACTCCATTTTGATGGAGTACTGCATCTTATTTAGAGGTTGTTACACCCTTTTGTTCATTTTAACCCTTAACCCTTTGACTGTTTTCGACGTATAAATACGTCTTACGAGCCAATGTTTCTGACGTATATATACTCAATAATTCTAGCGGCTTCAAATCAAGCGGGAGAAAGCTGGTAGGCCCACATGTGAGAGAATGGGTCTGTGTGGTCAGTGTGCACCACATAAAAAAAATCCTGCAGCACACATTGCGTAATGAGAAAAAAAAACTGATCGCTTTTTTGGAATAAAACGCCGACTTTGAGGTGTATTTTCGTATAGTATTTATCATTGTATTCGCGTTTTCATGGTCTTAGGTGATAAAATGGAAAACATATTAAAGAAATAGAGATGATTTTCATTACTTTGACGATGAAAACGACCTTGAAGCTGAGCTCAAAGTAGCGGAAATGTTCGATTTTTACCAATGTTCAGGAGTAAATAAATCACACCACACTTCCAATACACATCAACTGGGGAGTCTAATATTCTTTCACTAGTGCACTGATATTATTTATACCATTTTTACAATAATGCAGTAGTCTGCATAACAGTAAATTTTGTATTTTTTTGTATGAATAAAAAGTCAAAATAGAAAGCAATAATAATATAAGAGGGACCTAGAGATGTGACTAATGAACAGAGCATATGTTATTTTAGTGCCACGAATGTCTACCTTGTTTATTCTGGACCCTATTTTGAAATTGGCATCTTTTTTATTTGCGTGAAATTGGCCAAATTGCCAATTTCTGACCACCATATTGGGTAGTCCAAATTAGTAAATGGGAGGTTTCTTGTACTCAGCTGATAGATAAAATGGAGTTCTAAAGAAATAGCTATGAGTTTGGTCAACTGGAACAATGGAATTGGCTGAAAATAGGGCTCAAAGTCGGCGAAATCGCCGATACGCATATGTCGCCGAGACCGCTAACTTCGCGGGAGCATAATTCCATGAGTTTTCGACCAAATTTCGAACTTTTGGTGTCATTACCATCGGGAAAAGATTCTCTATCATTTCATAAGAAAAAATATTTTTTTTTTTTTTTTTTTTTTTAAAAATTGAGCGACATAGAATGACAGTTTCAGAAAGGGGCCTCAAACAGTCAAAGGGTTAAACTACATGCGTAGTGCTCAAAAAGTAGATCTTCGTTTCTTTTACATATTTTCAAATACAGTGGTCCCTCATCGTAATTAATCCGTTCCTGGAAGTGTTACTGTTATTGAAATTTACGATTTTCGAATAAATTTTCCCATAAGAAATAATGTAAATACAATTAATCCGTTCCTGACACCCAGAAGTACTAAAACAAAAAATTTTTTTACATGAAATATAGATGTAGTACATAAACAATACAATGGGACATGATGAATGAAACATTAACAGCATAACACTTACCTTTATTGGTGATTCTTCTTAGTGTATGGAAGACTGGAGGAGGAGAGAGATTGGATTATTTACAGTTTGGAAGGGGAATCCCCTTCCATCAACACCTCAGGTACCAAGTCCTTTTCTGGGGTTACTTCTCTTCTCTGTTTCTTAATGCCACTAGGACCAGCTTGAGAGTCACTGGAGTCCTGTCTTGCAAAATAACTGTCCAGAGAGCTCTGTTTCTGGCGTCTCTTTAACACTTCCCTAAAATGGGCCAAGACTTTGTCACTGTACATGTTGCCAACATGGCTTGCAACAGCCTTGTCAGGGTGATGTTTCTCCATAAATCTTTCCATCTTACCCCACATTTCAAAAATCTCCTTAATTTCTGAAGAAGGCACCTTCTTCCATCTCTCTTCCTCCTCCTCTGCAGCAAGATTCTGAGCTGTGATCTGTTGCTGTTCCTGCTGAAGCTCTTGCGGCTCCTCAGTGGTGAGCTCTTCGTTGTGGTCTTCCACCAACTCTTCCACATCCTCCAAACTCACATCCAACCCCATGGAACTCCCCAGTGCCACAATAGATTTAACAACGACATAGGCTCATCAGGGTCAACCCCAAACCCTTCAAAATCCCTCTTGTGGATACAATCTGTCCACAATTTTCTCCAAGCAGAGTTCAAAGTCCTGGTAGTCACTCCTTCCCAAGCCTTACCTGTAAGGCTTATGCAATGGAGGATGCTGAAGTGTTCTCTCCAAAAATCTCTTAGGGTCAAGTGAGTGTCTGAGGTCACATTCAAGCACCTTTGAAACATTGCTTTGGTGTAATTTTTTTTAAAGTTTGCAATGACCTGCTGGTCCATGGGCTGGAGGAGAGGAGTGGTATTCAGGGACAAGAACTTTACTGTGATGAACCCAAACTCCTTGAAAATTAGGTCATCCAATTTTGGAGGATGAGCAGGTGCATTGTCCATTACTAGGAGGCACTTGAGATCCAATTTCTTTTCCAGGAGGTAATTCTTCACTAGGGCCAAACACTTCATTGAACCACTCCACGGAAATTTCCCTCGTGACCCATGCCTTACTATTTAGATTTCCAAAACACACACAATTTACTCTTCATAACATTGTTTTTCCTGAACACACTGGGATTTTCAGAATGGTACACTAGTAATGGCTTCACTCTGAAATCCCCACTAGCATTAGCACAGAACATGAGTGTCAGCCTGTCTTTCATAGGCTTTTGTCCTGGCAGTGCCTTTTCCTCCTGAGTAATGTAGGTCCTCTTTGGCATTTTCTTCCAAAAAAGGCCTGTTTCGTCACAGTTGAACACTTGTTCAGGTTTTAGTCCTTCAGCCTCTGCGTACTCCTTGAATTCATGCACATATTATTCAGCCACTTTGTGGTCCGAACTGGCAGCCTCACCATGCCTTACCACACTGTGTATGCCAGTATGGTTCTTAAATCTCTTTAACCAACCTTTGCTGGCCTTAAATTCACTCACATCACCACTAGTTGCAGGCAATTTCTTTACCAGATCGTCGTGCAACTGCCTATCCTTTTCACAAATAATCGACGTCATAAGAGTATCTCCTGCTAATTGTTTCTCATTTATCCACACCAATAATAACTTCTCAGCCTCTTCGAGTACTGGTGATTTCATTTTTGTCAGCATATTTACCCCCTTTGCAACAACAGCGTCCTTGATTTCCTTTTTCTTGGCCACGATGGAAGCTATGGTCATATGGGGTTTGTTATACATCCTGGCCAGTTCGGCCATACGTACGCCACTTTCATATTGTTCAATGATGTTTTTCTTAAATTCAATCGTATTTCTCACCTTCTTTACCAAATGCTTGGCACTAGGAGCTTTCTTTGGAGCCATGGTAGCTTATTTAGTAGTTGCAAGCACTAAAATGAATGGAATATTATGAAATATTTCGTATGAGCAAGAAAGGGGACCTTCGCTCACTGGTAAACAATGCCACACTGGCTGGGAAGGGAGGCCAGGGGTGGCTCAGAGTGTGAGTACGCGTCCCGGACGAATGACTGTTCGCGAATCAATCTATGATTAGTGAGCCAATGTTTTGACGAAAATGTTTAATGGGATTATTTGG